GCTGGAAACTGTCATTCTCAGCAAACTATTGCAAGAACACAAAACCAAACAGCGCATGTTCTCACTCATAGGTGGGAATTGAACAATGTGAACACTTGGACACAGGGTGGGGAACATCACACACCGGGGCCTGTTGTGAGGTTGGGGGAGGCGAGAGGGATAGCATTAGGAGATATACCTAATGTAATTGACGAGTTAATGGGTGCAGCACACCAACATGGCACATGTATACATATGTAACAAACCTGCACATTGTGCACATGTACCCTAGAACATAAAGTATAATAATAAAAAAAAACCTAAAAAAAAGAAACCTAAATTTAGCCAGATGTTGTGGCAGGCACCTGTAGTCCCCACTACTTGGGAGGCTGAGGCAGGAGAATCACTTGAACCCAGGAGGCAGAAGTTGCAGTGATAATGCCACTGCACTCTAGCCTGAGTGACACCTGGGTGACAGAGTGAGACTCCATCTCAAAAAACAAATAAAATAAATACAAAACGAAAAGAGTAGATCACGGGAGTGGAACCCTCATGAGTGGTTTTGCGAATAGTTGTGGTGATGAGTGAATTCTTCCTTTGAGTTTAGGCTCTGATTGTATAAAAGTGTGTGGCACCTGCCCCTCTCCCTTGCTCCCTCTCTTGCTATGTGATATGCCTACTGCTTCTTCACCTTCTGCTATGATTGTAAGTTCCCTGAGGCCATCACCAGAAGCAAGATGCCATTGCCATACTTCCTGTACAGCCTGCAGAACCATGAGCCAAATAAGCTACTTTTCTTTATAAATCACACAGTCTTAGGTATTCCTTTATAGCAACAGAAGAAAAAATGTAATATAGAAAATTGATATTGAGGAGTGGGGCATTCCTATAAAACTACCTGAAGATGTGGAAGCACCTATGGAACTGTGTAACAGGCAGAAGTTGCAAGAGTGTGGAAAGCTGAAAAGGAGAAAGATGAGGTAAAGTTTGCCCTGCTCAACCTTGGGATGCTGTTCCCAACATCCTAACTGCTCCAGCTCCAGCTGCAGCTCAGAGGACTCCAGATAGATCTTGGGCATCTGCTCCAGTGGGTCCAAGCTGTAGATCTTTGCAGCTTCCTTGTGACATTAAGTCTGTGGTCACACAGAATTCAACAGTGAGGGGGACTTGGTAGCTTCTGACTGGATTTCAGAGGATACATCAGAAAGCCTGGGTGCCTAGGCAGAAACCTGACACAGGGGAAGAACCCCCACAGAGTGACTCCACTAGGGCAATGCTATTGGGAAGCATAGGCTTGCAGTCCCCACACAGGGTCCTCACTGGGATACTGGCTAGTGGAGCTGGGGGAAGGGTATTGCTGCCCTCCATATCCCAGAATGCTAACCTGACTGACAGCTCGCACCTTCTGCCTAGAAAAGCTGCAAGCATTTAACTCCAACCCATGAGAGCAGCCACATGGATTACGTTCTGCAAAGCTATATGAGTGGGGCTGCCCAAGGCCTTGAAAGTCAATCCCTCACACCAGGATGTGGGATATGGGGTCAAGGATTATGTTAAAGCTTTAAGAGATTTAATGTCTGCCCTGCTGGATTTCAGACTTATGGGGGGCCTATTGTCCCTTTCATTTGGCTGATTTCTCCCTTTCGGAATGTGAATGTTTACTCAATGCCTGTACCACCATTGTATCTTGGAAGTAACTAACTTGTGTATTTGTGTGTGTGTGTGTGTGTGTGTGTGTGCTTCTTATCTCACAGGCTCATTGGAAGTAACTCATCTCCAGACGAAACTTTGGGCTTGAGAACTGAGACTTTTGAATTAATGCTGGAATAAGTTAAGACTTTGAGGTACCATTGAGAAAGGATTATTGTATTTTGCAATATGAGAAAAATATGAGATTTGGGGTCCAGGAGTGCAATGATATGTTTTGGATGTCTGTTCCCTCTAAATGTGTTGAAATGTAATCTCCACTGTTGGAGGTGAGACCTGATGGGAGGTGTTTGAATCATGCGGGCAGATCCATCATCTTCTTGGTGATGAGTAAGTTATTTCTCTGAGTTTATACAACATCTTGTTGTTTAAAAGTGTGTGGAATCTTTCCCCTCTATCTCTTGCTCCCCCTCTCACTATATGATATGCCTACTCTTTCACATTCCACCATGATTGTAAGCTTCCTGAGATCCCCCTAGAAGCAGATACCAGCTGTATGTTTCTTGTACAGTGTATTAGTTCACTACTGCCCAGTGTGAAAATTGAAAATTGTTCTAGTTAGTTTTCATGCTGTATTAGTATTAGTTAGTTTTCATGCTGCTGATAAAGTATTAGTTAGTTTTCATGCTGCTGATAAAGACATACCTGAAACGGGGAACAAAAAGGTTTAATTGGACTTACAGTTCTATATAGCTGAGAAGGCCTGAGAATCATGGTGGGAGGTGAAAGGCACTTCTTATACGGCGGCAGCAAGAGGAAAATGAGGAAGAAGCAAAAGTGGAAACCTCTGATAAACCCATCAGATCTCATGAGACTCATTCACTATCACAAGAACAGTCCAGGAAAGACCCATCCCTATAATTCAATCATCTCCCATCGGGTTCCTCCCATGACACGTGGGAATTGTGGGAGTTACAATTCAAGATCAGATTTGGGTGGCGGCACAGACAAATCATATCATACAGCCTGCAGAACTGTGAGCCAAAATAAGCCATGTTTTTCTTTATAAATTACTCAGTCTCAGATATTCCTTGACAGAGATGGAAACATACTAACACATACATCTATAGGAAAACATCCTTTTCTGACAAAGGAAATCAATGTAATTGGAAGGAATGACTGTTACATGCAGATAAAAATGTAAGGATACAAGAAACATTAAAATATTGTTTTAAATGACACCTCTAAAGAAACACAACAATTCTCCATCAAAGAATTTCAACAATAAAGAAGTGTACAAAATTGCTGAAGAAGAATTCAAAATAATATTAATGAAGCTCAGTGATATACAAGAGAACACAAATAAATAATGCAAACAAGAAATATTTATGATTAAAATGAGAAATTCAATAAAGAGATAGATATCATTTAAGAAGAACCAAACAGAAACCCTGGAACTGAAAACAATCAATAAATGAAATTAAAAATACAATGGAGACCTTCAACAATAGACCAGATTAAGCAAAATATAGTAATTTTAGACTTGAATACAGGTCTTTTGAAATAACCCATACAAATAAAAAGAGTAAAAGAATAAAAAAGAATGAAAAAAGCTTATTTTAGAGATGGAACACAATAAAGCAAAAAAGTATTCCAAATTTGGGTGTTCCAGAAGGAGAATAGATGGGCAAGGGCATAGAAAGCCTATTTAATAAAATAATACCTGAACACTTACCAAGTATTGCAAGAGATGTAGACATCCAGATACAAGAAGCTCAAAGACCCCCAAATACATTCAACACAAATATTTCTTCAAGACACACTGTAGTCAAACTGTCAAAGACACTGATAATTCTAAAACACCAAAATAAGTGTCAGGTCACATATAAGGAAATCCCCATCAAACCGACATTGGGTTTTGTTGCAGAAATCTTACAGGTCAAGAGAGAATAGGACCACATATTCAAAGTGTTGAAAGAAAAACTAACATCCAAGAAGATTATATCTAGCAAAGCTATCCTTCAAAACACAAAAGCAAAATAAATTATTCCCCAGGCAAGCAAAAACTGAGGGCATTCATTACCACTACACTGGTCCTATTTAAAAAATGGTTAAGGAATTTCTACATCTGGAAGTGAACAGGTGATATAGGCCATCATGAAAACACACAAAAGTATAAAACTCATTGGTAGAGCAGACACATAAATGAGAACAAGAAAGGAGTCAAACAATAGCACTATGAGAAGCCACTAAACAGCAATAATAAATAATAAGAAAGGAAGAAAGGAGGAAAGGATCAAAGGATATACAAAGAAACCCATAAAACAATCAACAAAGAACAGAAATAATTTCTCAACTATCAATAATAACCTTGAATGTAAACACATTAAATTTCCAATTTAAAAATATAGACTGGCTACATGGATGTAAAAACATGACCCAACTATATGATTCCTATAAGACACTCATCTCACCTGTAGAGACACATGTAGACTGAAAGTAAAGAGGAAAAACAATATTCCATGCAAACAGAAACCAAAAGTGAGCAGGAGTATCTATACTTACATCATATAAAATGGACTTCAAGTCAAAAACAGTAAAAGAAGACAAAGAAGGCTATTATATAATCATAAAGGGATCAGTTCAGTAAGAGGACATAACAATCATAAATACGTATACACTCAACATTAAAAGCACACAGGTATATAAAGCAAATATTATTATCTCTAAAGGAAGAGATAGAGTCTAATACAATAAAGATTGGGGAATTCAACAACTCATGCTCGGCAACAGAAGATCATTTAGAGAGAAAATCAACAAAGAAACACTGAAATTAAAGTGCACTTTAGACCAAATGGAACTAACAAATAATTACAGAACATTTTATTCAAAAGCTGAAGAATAAACACTCAGAATATAAAGCATTCTCCATAATAGATCATATGTTAGGTCATAAAACAAGTTTTAAGAAATTAAAATAAAATTGCATCAAGTGTCTTATCGGACAAAAATGGAACAAAACCAGAAATCAATATCAAAAGAAACTTTAGAAACTGTACAAGGCTCAATGTGCATGCCTGCCCGTGCTCTGCATATTCACTTCTGCCAGGGCCAGGCCAGGACGGGAAGAGGAAGGCTTCTGGCATTTGTGTATGGGCCAGCATTGATGCAAGCACTGCAGGAGCCCTGACTCCACAGCATGTTTGAGCTCATTCCTCTCCAGCTTCTCTGCAGTTGGGAGCTGTTTGTTCATGGACACCGAACCCCACCAGAGTAGTCTGTGGCCCAGCAGCCACACCCACAGCTCAGTATCTTGGAAGTCTTTCGAGATACCTGATGATGTACCTCTACCAGCGGACTGGGAGATAGCAAAAATATCTTCTGGTCAGAGATACTTCTTAAATCACATTGATCAGACAAGAATGTGACAGGACCCCAGGAAGGCCATGTTCTTTCAGATGAATGTTACAGCCCTCACCAGTCCTTCAGTGCAGCAGAATATGATAAACTCAGCCTGAGATCCTCTTCCTGATAGATGGGAACAAGCCATGACTCAGGATGGAGAAATTTACTACATAAACTATAAGAACAAGACCACCTCTTGGCTAGACCCAAGGCTTGACCCTCGTTTTGGTAAAGCCATTAACGAGAGAATCAGTCAGAGTGCTCCAGTGAAACAGCCACCACCCCTGGCTCCCCACAGACCACAAGGAGGCGTCATGGATATTGGCAACCTCAACCAGCAGCAACAGATTCCACTGCAGCAATTGCAGATGGAGAAAGAGAAAGTGCAACTGAAACAGCAAGAACTACCTTGGCAGGAGTTAGTGTTCTGTAGCCAGTTACCAACACCGGACCAGAATGGTGGGACTCAAAATCCAGTAACTTCCCCTGAGATGTCTCAGGAATTGAGAAAAATGATGACTAAGAGCTCAGATGCCTTTCTTAACAGTGGCACCTATCACTGTCAAAACGAGAGTACAGACAGTGTACTAAGCATGAGCAGCTACAGTGTCCCTGACATCCCCAATGACTTCCTGAACAGCATTGATGAGATGGATACAGGTGATACTATCAAACAGAGAACTCTGCCCTCACAACAGAACCATTTCCCAAACTACCTCGAAGCCATTAGTGGTACAAATGAGGACCTTGGAACACTGGAAGGAGATGGAATGAACATAGGAGAGGAGTTGATGCCAAGTCTGCAGGAAGCTTTGTGTTCTGACATCCTTAATGACATGGAATCTGTTTTGGCTCCTACAAAGCTAGATAAAGAAAGCTTTCTTACATAGTGATAGAGACCTAAGATAGACTGAATTCTAAATCTATGGAGGATCTAAAGAAATAAGACATATATGCCTGAAATTTCCAAGTAAGCCAGTTGCAGTTTTCTGTCAATACAGAAAAAGTCGAACAAATGTCCAGCAAGACTCTTTCATCCACTATTTTGCTCTTCTTTGTCTATTGCTGCTGTTAATATATTGTTGACCTCTTTCACAGCTGGCCCTAAGGGAATCAAAAAGAAAAAAAAATGGTTTCTTTTGCTATTATAACTACTATTCATTCTGGGGACTTGGGAAGCGAGCCTGTTTGGATGATGGATGCCATTCCTTTTGCTTAGTTAAATGTTCACTGATTGACTGGGCATAGTGGCTCATGTCTGTAATCCCAGCACTTTGGGAGGCCAAGGTGGGCAGATCACCTGAGGTCAAGAGTTCAAGACCCACTTGGCCAACATGGTGAAACCATGTCTCTACTAAAATACAAAAATTAGCTGGGCTTGGTGGTGGGCGCCTGTAATCTCAGCTACTGGGGAGGCTGAGGCAGGAGAATTGGTTGAACCCAGGAGGCAGAGGTTGCAGTGAGCTGAGATCACACCCACTGCACTCCAGCCTGGGTGGCAGAGCCAGACTCTGTCTCAAAATAAATAAATAAATAAATAAAATAAAAAAGTTTACCTATCATTTTAAGTAAATACTCTGACTTAGAAATCAAATGCTTCATGTCACAGTTTGTTCAACAATTGTTTCTTCAGCTGCCTTTGGTCAATGTAAAAACATGACTTACTGGTCTGACAAGCCAAAAATGTTAATTCCGATATTAAGTACTTAATGCTGATTTGAAGAGATAACTGAAACCAAGGCTGAAGACTGTTTTTCTTTCAGTGTTTTCTTTTCCTTCTAGGGTTATCATTGGTCACATAGTGACCTAAAATAAAAGGAGGGACCACTTTTAATTTCAGGAGCTTATAAAGTGTGAGACAATTTCCATAGAAATATATTAATTATTGCCACATAGTCTAGTATAGGTTTTGGTGAATAATTTTGTGGGTGTGAGTTTTGTTTTGTTTCATTGTTTTTTGTTTTTTGTTTTTTTTTTTTTCTTTTGCTTGGTTGGTTAGTTTTGTTGAAAGCTAGGCAAATGATCATTTAGCAAATCTGTTCATAGTTGTAGCTTGAGACGGTTATTGTAGTTGTTTTGGCAAAATCTTCATTTCCTGTTTTTTAACCATATTATTTAAATCTTGATTATATGTTCTCTCTTTTACACACACACACACACACACACACACACACGCGTAATGTTTATAATAGTGTGATAGTGGAATGTATCTTTTTTTTTTTTTTTTAAGGTTTCCCTACTTTCCAACTAATTTTTAAAATGGTAGCTTTGTATGCAAAGCTGGTAGTTTATATTTCACTCACAGTTTAAATTTGGTTGGGGCAGTCTGCAGATGTTAGAAATATTTTCGTGTTCTAGAAAGGGCTGTTGCTATGGATAGTGCCTAGGGAAGTACTCTATGCCCTCTGGGCGTACAATACATTATATCTGATACATTGGAAAGGTACAAACAAGAAATGGCTTTATTTTCCCTCCTTGGACTATATTGGACTAATTTTTAAGTCTTGGTGGAAAATCACTGAGTAGGTTCATAATGTGCCTGACAGATTGGTAGTTGTTTACCTTCATTTAGCTTTGGAAGTTTACCTTCCAAAGTTCACCTTCACCTTGGTTTTGGAAATAAATTCTAGTTTGTAGTTCTCATTTGTAATGAACACATTAAAGACTGAAATATTGCCTTCAAGATTGTTCTTACTTGTAAGACTTGCTCCTACTTCTGTATGCTTAAAATTGACTCTGGATAGAATACTATAAGGTCATGATTTAGCTGGAAAAGTGATCAGATTAATAAATGTATATTGGTAGTTATATTAAGAAATAGAGATAATCATGATGATATATTTATTTTTACAGGATGATATGTAATTAAAGTACATGTCTACAGGAGTAATAATGATTTCCAAAGAGTATTTTTAAAGGAAAAGAAATGAGCATGAATTAACTCTGCAATATAAGCTATGAAGTAATAGTTGGTTGTAAATTAAAGTGGCACCAGCTAGCACCTCTATAATTCAAGGGTCTTTCAATGTTTCTAAAATAAGCCCTTATTTTTAAGGGGTTCTAACATACAAAATCTCTTTTCCTGGAAAAAATTGCTATGAAAAGCCTCAGATTGGAAAGATAGATTTTTTTTCCCCGATTACAAAAATCTAAGTATTTTGGCCCTTCAATTTGGAGGAGCAAAAATTGGAAGTAAGAAGTTTTAAGTACTTTCAGTGCTCAAAAAACGTGCAATCACTGTGTTGTATATAATAATTCATAGCTCAATCACTCGTAATAATTGACTCTAGACTTTTATTGAGAAAACAGCAGAAAGATTAAACCTTGATTTCAGTTTGAGGGAAAATGGCCACTGTACAGATGGAGTTTTAGAGTAGTAATGAAATTCTACCTAAAATGCAATATTGAGTATTTTAATTATACAGCATATTGGTGGGTTTTTTTAATGTGCAGAGGATCAAAGCTACTTGGAAGGAGTGCCTATAATTTGCCAGTAAGCCACAAATTAAGATTGTACCTTGTATATCAGAAGAGTAGTTAGCTTAGGGGGAAGGTGAGAAGGTGTGGGGGGATATTAAGATTTAGTAGGATCTTGATAGAGAAATTTATAAACTTTTTTATCTTTAATAAAGACTTTTCTTTTATCTTGCTGTCATTAAAGGCAGTTGTTCCTAAAATTCCAATCATTTAAGTACACCCACAAAATAAGAATATGGATATCTTTATTTTCCATTTGCCCAGTTATACCTCAAGGTTGTAGCAGTACTGTGATACCTGACACAGTGCTTTGATTTTATGATACCCTCTGTACTGACCTGAAGGAGACTTAAGAGTCCTTTCTTTTGAATGTCAGTCATAGCCTTGATGTGGTCTCTTGTTTTGTGTCCTAGTTCTTAATGTAAAAGTGCTTAACTGCTCCTTGGTTGTATTGGGTAGCATTAGGATAAGATTTTACATGGGTATTATTAACTGAAAAGAATACAAATGTAAAAAGCTGGTAAATTTAAAGATTATAAAATTTTTTTATTGTAAAAGCAATTCAAGAATATTCATTTGCCCAGTTATACCTCAATGTTGTAGCAGTGCTGCAATACCTGACACAGTGCTTTAGTCTATAATGATCAGTAATGTTGAGCTTTTATTCATGTTTATTGGCTGCATGTATGTTTTCTTTTGAGAAGTATCTGTTCGTGTCATTTTCCCACTTTCTAATGGGGTTGTTAGTTTTTTTCTTGTAAATTTTTTAAGTTCCTTGTAGACTCTGGATATTAGACCTTTGTCATATGGATAGATTGCAAAAGTGTTCTCCCATTCTGTAGGTAGTCCGTTCATCTGATGATAGCTTATTTTGCTGTGCAGAAGCTCTTTAGTTTCATTAGATCCCATTCTTCAATTTTTACTTTTGTTGCAATTGCTTTTAGCATTTTCATCATGAAACATTTGCCTGTGCTGATGTCCTGAATGGTATTGCCTAAATTTTCTTCTAGGGTTTTTATAGTTTCAGGTTTTGCATGTAAGTCATTAATCAATCTTGAGTTAATTTTAGTATAAGGTTTAAGGAGGGGTTCAGTTTTTAATTTTCTGCATATAGCTAGCAAGTTTCCCCAGAGCCACTTATTAAATAGGGAGTCCTTTCCCCATATCTTGTTTTTGTCAGGTTTGTCAAAGATCACTTGGTTGTATGTGTTTGGCCTCATTTCTGAGTTCTCTATTGTGTTCCATTAGTCTATGTGTCTGTTTTTGTACTAGTACCATGGTGTTTTGGTTACTGTAGCCTTGTAGTATAGTTTGAAGTTGGGTAGCATAATGCTTCCAGCTTTGTTCTTTTTGCTTAGGATTGTCTTGGCTATACAGGCTCTTTTTTGGTTCCATATGAATTTTAAAATATTTTTTTTCTAATTCTGTGAAAAATGTTAATGGGACTTTAGTGGAAGTAGCGTTGAATCTATGAATTACTTTGGGCAGTATGGCCATTTTTATGATATTGATTCCTTCTATCCAAGAGCGTGGAATGTTTTCCCATTTGTTTGCGTTCTCTCTGATTTCCTTGTGCAGTGGTTTATAGTTGTCCTTTAAGAGGTCTTTCACTTCCTTTGTTAGCTGTATTCCTAGGTATTTTATTCTCTTTGTAGCAATTGTGAATGAGAAATCATTCATGGTTTGGCTTTCTGCTTGCCTGTTGTTGGCGTACAGAGATGCTAGCAATTTTTGGACATTGATTTTGTACCCTGAGACATTACTGAAGTTGCTTATCAGGTTAAGAAGATTTTGGGCTGAGATGATGGGGTTTTCTAGATATAGAATCATCATATGCAAACAAAGATAATTTGACTTCTTCTCTGCCTATTTGAATACCCTTTATTTATTACTCTTGCCTGATTGCTCTGGCCAGAACTTCCAACAACATGTTGAATAAGAGTGGTAAGAGACAGCATCCTTGTCTTATGCCAGTATTCAAGGGGAATGCTTCCAGGTTTTGCTCATTTAGTATGATAATTGGCTGTAGGTTTGTTGTATATGGCTCTTTTATTTTGAGGTATGTTCCTTCGATACCTAGTTTATTGAGACTTTTTAACATAAACTGATGTTAAATTTTATCAAAGGCCTTTTCTGCATCTATTGAGATAATCATGTGGTTTTCGTATTTAGTTATGTTTATATGATGAATTACATTTATTGATTTGTGTATGTTGAACCAACCTTGCATCTCGGGGATGGAGCCAATTTGTTCATGGTGGATATGCTTTTTGATATGTTGACGGATTCAGTTTGCTAGTATTTCATTGATGATTTTTGAATTGATGTTCATTAGGGATATTGGCCTGAAGTGTTTTTATTTTTATTTTTGTCTCTGCCAGGTTTTGGTGTAAGAATGATGCTGGCCTCTTAAAATGAGTTAGGGGGGAGTCCCTCCATTTCAATAGTTTAGAATAGTTTCAGTAGAAATCATACCAGCTCTTCTTTCTACCTCTGGTAGAGTTCAGCTTTAAATCTACCTGGTCCTAGGCTTTTTTTTT